AATAAAACAAGAATAGAAACTGCTCCTCTTTTTGCAGAAATGAGAGGGAACCAGTGTTTGTGCTGCTATAAACTCCAGCTGCAGTGCATATGGATGACGGGTGCTGGTTAGAGTGGGATTTTTGTAAAGTGTCCTAAACAACTGGATTTGATGCTTGCAATTCCTTTACATATCTTAACGTTTTCCTCTCTGGACCTACATGTTTTCTCAGAAAACTCCAATATCCCAAGCAGCTGCAACAATGTCTATACCCGGCAAACCTTCCCTTCTTTTTTACCCTCTTTGCCTTTTCTTCATCCTTTTAAGTCCACACTTGCAAATAAGAGTAAAGATGAACTGACATTTGGTCAGGTGGGAAATTACAAGCAGAGGAAAACTGAAAGATGGACCTGGAGAAAAAATGAACAGAGGAAAGAAAAGGAGGGGCGTCAAAGAGAGAGGAACAGCTGCCAAAGCCAGTCAGTTGGAGGAGAGTGAGGAGCAGTAAGATAAGGAGTCAGCCAAGGAGTGGGGAGCTAGCAAGCACCCAAAAGAAAGACACTGATACCCTCTCCCTCTCTCCCTCTTTCCCTCTTTCAACCGCCCATCCTTCCTCACCCTCCCAACCTCCTCTCCTCCTTTGTGCAGTGTCTCAGCAGAGCTTCGTTTGAGTGGCAGGCCGTCACAGATCAGCTAGCAGCTAAAGTAGGGGCTATGTGTGTGTGTGTGTGTCAGCCAAAGCAGGGGGTTGCCAGCCCAGAGCGAACAGATCAGGGGAGAGTCTAAGTGGGTTTATCAGCACCGCTGAGAGCCAAAAGACACACACACACACACGTCATAAAGTCGAATACACACAACTGTCACACACAGACACAAAGTAAAGAAACAAAGAACGGGAGAGCATGAAACGCACATGCAGTCAGATTTAGGCATATGCTCACATGCATACATGTGCACGCTTACACATGGGGGGAGAAAGGGGTATTAGACCCAACTGAAGCAAACCTGTGAGCGTGAAAGCGCCTTACTGCCTGCCTGCTAGCAAGAGATGTGACTGAATTCTTAAGCAGCCAGCCAGAGAGTGAGGGCAGCTAAACACACACTCACACACACAATACTTATACCTCAAGGCTCAGATGAAGCCCAGTGCTTCATTCCTCTTGAAGCTGTGTGCCTTCTGAGCCCCTGCATGCTCGCTGAGGTAACGATCAGGTGTTTGTCCAGCTCTGTCAGTGATTTTTCAGGGTCTGACATCAATGTTTAGATCACATTTATTGACATTTTGTGCTGCTCTTAAGGGAGGGAGAGTTCTATTAGACAGTGTGGTTTAAACAGGAGAAAGAGGTGTAGGATGACCGCTAATAGTTTAAAGCAGCAGTGCATACTGTATAATGTATGTGTGATTGTGCAGAGATTTACAACATATCAAATGATTGTATTTTGTTATTAAACTATAGTGATGAAGGGTATTCTTTGCATTCTTAGATGATGTTTGCTTACGCCTTCCATCATCCATCAGGATTTACGTAGAAACGGAGTATTTTTTACATTTAGTTTGCAACGATGAGCTCTAGACCCATTGCATGAGATATATGTGTTTACATCATGTTTACATATGTGTTTACATCCTGCAACTACTTCCAGGCCTGTTCTTCATCTTTTTACAAGGCAATAAAAAGACAAATCCAGTCGCAGAGCACAGTTGAATCATATGATGAGAAAAAAAGTTTTTTAATTTTAGTTTAGCAAAATAAAATGATTTAAATGCGTTAAAGCGTGAAAACATTTTATTCAAGGACTAAAGAAACAGAAAACTAACGGTAAACGAAAAATATGCATAATTTTACAAGACCATATGACAACAAGA